ACACTCACTCACTCACACTCAGTCACTCACTCTCACTCACTCACTCACTCACACCCACTCAGTCACTCACTCTCACTCACTCACTCACTCACACACTCACTCACACTCACTCACTCACTCACTCACTCACACTCACTCACACTCCAAAAAATGGAGACGGGAAGAAAAAATATAATATTATTATACCGTTTTGCACGTGGCTGGTTGGTAAGTTGACCTCAATATCCACTTACTGGATAATGCTGTAACAATGCAAAGCTACAGTATGATCACTCACTCACTCACTCACTGCACGACTTAACGTCCGTTGTTCCCCGTCATGCAAGGGTTGGACGTCGTGGGGTGTCGTTTGGGTCTAATGGCTGCTCTCCAGCTGCTTCTGTCTAGCGGGTTGGCCTTCTGCAGTTTCAAGCTTTTGACATCTTCCCTAATACTGTCTACCCATCTCTTCTTTGGGCGGCCACGCGGGTTTCGGCCCTCTACAGGCATTGTCATAACCTTCCTTGGCCAGTTCTGCTTATGATGTAAGCAGGATAGGGTTAGCAGGTAGAATAAGAGTACTCTTAGGTACTGGGGCAGATCTCGTGCGTCTGAAGATTTCAGAATGGCTTGATGAAAACTTGGAGGGGGAAGCAAAATAATACACTGAGTCTCTTTCATACTCTTCTTATATAAGTTGACCTCAATGTCCACTTACTGGATAATGCGTAACAACGCAAAGCTAAGCAGGATTGTTTCACACAGACACATCAAAGAGCAAAGCGACACTTTTCTCCGGAAGGGCTAATTATGGAAAAATTTACCCTCTGGCTTCTTACGTCAATGCAGTCAGAGACAAAAGGGGTGCCCGGAGCAAATCAAGGCATATCTGTACCAGTATGTTTATATGTTTATGTTTGTGTTTTATAAGCCCATATGGGCTGGGCGACAAAAGTTGCAAGACACGTAAATAAAAATTCATTCATTCATTCATTCATTCATTCATTCATTCATTCATTCATTCATTCATTCATTCATTCAAGGAGGATCAATGACCGATAAAGAATGGACGCTGTCCACATTACGAAAAGTGCAGTCAGAGACGAAGGAGTCAGGCAACAATCTAGGAAAGTTAGACAAATACAGTCGGGTGTCACTGCTCTTCCCAGGTCCAAATTGTGTCTGCACTCGAAACGAATGATAGAATCGCGTGACTTAGAGGGACTGCCATCTTGAATTTTTATGCGAATATCATTCAGTAGTATAAAAATGACTTTTGAAAACTTATCCAAGACAAAATACTATCTAAGTTGACCTCAATGTCCACGAACTGGAAAGGTTGTGACACCCATAATTATAAGGAGGAGGAGCTTGCCATCCATCAAAACATTGCTGGAGGGCTGCTGAAGAAAACAAAAGACGCTCTATCATTATCGCTATCACAGTCCACAGTTTGGAAAATCGTTTACTTCTCTTCTTATACTTGATGTAACAGTTATTTTAAAATCAGTTTGGAAAAAATTGATTGGCTACCCAGGCGTCTGTAAACACAGAAAACATAAAAAGAATGAGACGAAAATGAATTCTGCTGCCAGAGTGTGAAAGGGTGCATATTTTGCCACAGGCCAAACCTAGAAAAACACAATGCAACGTGTAATTACGGAGCTAAAGTTAGAGTGAAGAAACAAGTGACCTGCAAATGATGGGATGATCGATGAGTGATGAGAAGACACATCTTTTGTTTCTTACAGCGGCTCATGCCTGTAGCCAGGATTTTGAATGGGGGGTTCGTCCCACTGCTTGAGGGGACTTCGTTCCTAGGGGGGTCCAGGGGCATGCTCCCTCGGAAAATTTTGAAAAATGAACCTTCTAAAATGGCATTTCGTGCATTTTTGTGACGATTTCCAAGAAAAAATCAAAGATAAATTTTTATTCAATGACAAAGGGAGCAGTTTTTCTATGATTCCAGTCCATCTTTTCAACAAAAATCTTGGACCTTCACATAAAAAGTGGACCAAAAAGTGGACCTTTACATAAAAGGGGGACCAAAAAGTGGACCTTTGAGCCTTGTGGGGGGGGGGGGGGGTTCTTCCGAACCCAACGAACCCCCCCTGGCTACGGGCATGCAGTGGGGAGCCTTCTTGAAAAGGGGACGGTATCTGTATCTGTATAGCCGGTACATTAGTAACCGCCCTTCAGCGTAACACACCAGCTTCTGTACCTGTATAGCTGGTACAGCTGGCTATATTACACCGATCGACTCATTACACCAAACCCATAAACATCTAACTCTATACACAAGTCTAATGTACTTGTGTCTATCAGACACCTTCCTCAGAGCTTCTGACTGGAGTTCTGCTTAAATTCTCACCGCTATATGTAACCTATACTTGGGATTGCGTCCTCACCGCAAAAGCGCCACCTACATCGGCTACATATATGGTGTGCATGACCATTTTTGGCACAAGTGGCATGCATGACCATATTTGGCATGCCTGACCAAATTTGGCACACATGACCTCCTTTCTCATCAGGTGGTTTCTCCTTGCTGATTGGCTGCTGGGATAATTATGTGATCAAATTTGGGATAATCAAACAGATACAGGGTGGTATATATGGAAAGGTACTAAGGCCACACCAATTTAATTTCTTGGTTAACAGATTTTTCTAGAAAAATAATGGAAAAAATAAAAAATAAAAACAGGCTTAGGCATCCTATTATGGCCCAAAATGGTACGATAGGAGCCATGAAGTCAACACACCTGGCTGGTTCAAAATCAAACTATGAATTTTTAATGATACCACTGCATTGAAGGATGAAATAACTGTAACAACTAGGAATTAAAGGACTGTTTTCAACTGTTCAGGGCAAAATATGAGCATTCTGCAGTTGATTTTTTTTGCAAATCAGAAAAAAAGGTTTAGAAGGTGAATCCCTTAACCAAGAAATTAAATTGGTGTGGCGTAAGTAGTCTTCAAGCAAATACAGGGTGGTATGGATTGCATGGTGAATGGGGAAGAAGAATGGGTGAAATGTGCTGCATTTGCTTTTGGGCAAATGTTGGCCTTTCTAGTTACTAGTATTCTTTTCTCCCTGTCGCTTCATATTTTTAAAGAAAAAATCCGAGAACCAACAAATTAATTAGTTTGGCCTTCTTTAGTTATACCCCAATTAAAAACGTGAGCACGAAGCGCAGAAGCGGCCACTCAGTGAGGCCACGTAGTGATTGAGCACTGAATTGCAGTGGGGCCCTGGACACAGAAAGTGGGGTCCTGTGGCAGCGCGTTCGGCTCAGAACCAAGAGGTCGCGGGTTCGAATCCTGCCTGGCATGTCACGTGCACCGATCTTGTGCCCCTTTATGACTTTTAAGTTGTAAGGAAAGCAACTTTTTTTTTGCCAAACGTTTTTTTTAATTCGCACGCTCGCATCAGTTTTGGGGTTCCCAGAGGATGTCATCCATATAATCAAATCAACATGGCCTTATGGACTTTGTTGTTTGTTTGTTTGTTTTATTTCGATCTCCATTTAGTGTAATACATAAAGTTTACACTACTCTTCCTGGAGTCCAACTAACTAAACAAAAATAGTAAAAACAATAATAAATCAATCAAACATAATTTAAGATAAACAATAAATAACGGAATCGTTGTTGTTATGCAAGTCAGTTTATTTCAGCCATAATCATGCCTCCAGAAAATTGGCCATAGTTCCGCGCTATCGTCGCCTTTCGACGAAAGTTTCCTCAAAACATTGTCGCAAGAATTTAGGAACAAAGTTGAGAAGAACTCACCGGCCAAAACAGCCATCTGTAATCCTCCAGACCAGAAGTTTTCAGAAAAGTTTGTTGTTGTTGTTGACGTCCTTGTTTAATGTCTAATATATCGCTAGACGTGGTCACTTGGTGCTCGTTGTCGCGTGGTTCAGTTCAGAGTCAAAAAGTCTCTCTGGATATTTTATGTCTACTAGTAGATGTCTTGTGCTTGAGTGAAGCTGGAAGAGTTGCGTACTCAATGTACCGGGAGAGGGCCAGGTACATCTGCTTGTTTGCTGCAGCATCTGCTTGTTTGGTACATCTGCTTGTTTGCAGGAAGGCCTAAATCTCTCATTCCGGCTAGGGTGACGATATCCGTGTCTCTGCTTTCCTCTAGCCTCTGCTACGTTGTATATCAACTTTTAGCAGAAGTTCCTCCGGCAAAAAAAAAACATTTGGTCGCCATCTTGGATTTGCAGTTCGCGCGGTCGCAAGGCCCCATGGGTAGTTTTAATGGGCCATGTTGATATGATTATATGGATGACATCAATACGGGCATGAATTTTCGTTCGTTTAAAAAAAACAACAAGTTTTCGATCATACTATATATCGTACAAAAATGACAAAAGTATCCCTTAAATTGCCAAAAATATTGGAAAACGATACTTATGTCGTAGAATTGAATGCAAAAATTAATTTCAAACGGAAAAGAAGAACATGTGAAGAAATGAAAATGAAGTGTTATTCGCCATATCATACTCATATGTTGAACTTTCATGGCCACGTAGATTTTATGATGAAAGCAACTTTTATTGTCCCATACTTTTTTTTTATTCGCACACTCGCATCAGTTTTTTTTTAATCTGATTCCCAGAGGATGTCCTCCATATCAGGTCATTTTGATTTGATTATAAAAATAAGGATGAAATGCATCAAAATAAACTATGTAGTCAACGGGATAGATCGAAATAGTCTATGGTTTTTCCATCACGTTTTTTTTTCGTATTCTTACTACAAATTTCTTTGATTTTCTTCATGTGGAAATAAACTAAAAATAGACAGATCTTTTTATGTTTCTTTTAGTCTGAGCCAGGAAATTGGTCTGTGACTTACGGAAAAAAACAAAATACCACCACATCCCACGCTAGTTCTCCACATATAACCTTACCTCAGCAGACTTATCATGAAATCATTGGAAATATTCCATATTCATGCGCCTTGACTGTGGGTGGTTGTTGTACTGCGTACCTGCTGTCTGCACAGTCAAAATGTACGAGCAGGCAGAGCCTATCCGGTTGCCTTTCTCCGGCCCCGACAGCCGCCAACCCAGCGGGCCGCCACCCCAACCCCGTCCCGTCCAGCAGAGTGGTTCACGTGGGCGTGTCCGCCTTGGCAACGGCGCTTCTGACAAGCAGCGGGAAGACCAGGACACGTCTTCACACACGTACGTAAACACCGAGGAGGTGAAACGTTACGCAACGTCTGCAGGTAACCGGCGCTTTTACAACTTTCCCTTCTCTCCAAGCAGAGGTTTGGGTTTGGGGGTATCTTTAATGTGTTTTTATTACTTTTTTATCGGGATTTCTTTTTTGCACTGGAATTTTTCTTTAAATTTTTGGGTTGGGTGAAAGAAAAATCCCAGTGCAAAAAAGAAACCCCGATAAAAAAAGTCTAAAAACACGCCAAAAATAACCCAAAACCCAAACCTCTGCTTGGAGAGTAACTTTTCCGGCATTTTAGTGAATATTTGTTCAATCAGGAGTAAAATTCTCCTGAAGAGGGTCAAGGATCACTCACATATTGAATACTAATAGAAGTTATCATAATAATAGATTGTAGTTATTATTGTAGGATAGTTTAGTATTGTAGTATTGTTGCTTTACTGTTATACATTTTACAATGTAAGATTGTCGAGCAATGGATTTCATTCATTCATCTAGTCATAATATTACATCTGTACTGTAAGTTGTATCAGTAAAGTTGATGAAAATGAAGTAAGATTCACATCTAAAAATGATAATTATCTGCTAATTTGAATATTTGTTTAAAGTGTACAGAAAGCTGGCAAGAAAAAATATTACCATGGTGACAGTCGCCAAGGTGACACTGTTTCCACAATGTTATAGTGACGTTAACAATAATATGAGTCAAATTCTAATGTTTTTCTCTACCAGACCGCGCGTATCCGGGTGGAGCGAGCGGCCGTCGGGGTGTCTGTAGCTTCCTCCGCGCCCGCCGCAGCTTCCTCGCCGCCGGCATCGCCGTGCTACTGAGCCTAAGCGCCGCGGGACTCGCCCCCCTGACGTTCAGGAACAAGCAGGTAACAGTCTTGCACCATAAGGCTTGTTGTCCAGCTATGTTTTTAATTCTTATTCTTATTATGTTTACCGAAGGAAAACATTTTTTTCTCAGTTTCTTCTTCCTCTTCCGTTCCAAACACATAAAAAGCATCGATATTTTCGTAATTAGAGCCTGAAAGAAAATGAAATTCAGTATGATGGTAGGTTGGTAAATAAGACACTGAATGTTGCTCACTTTGGCAACATAGATGTGAAAAAATTGTTTATTGGCAAAACATGGGTGAAAAAAAGCATCTTTAGCCAAAAATTGAACTTTAGAACCCGTTTCGAATTTTAGAACAACGTCGAATTCGAAGTTCGACGATCGCGGGTCAATGACCGCAGCGCTACGGAACACCCCTTACAAGCTTTTGATACATGGTTTATCGAGTTGCATAAGAAATATGAATTTTTCTTTGCTATCATAATCAAACTTTTTGCTATGCGCTTCAGGGAATATCCCAACTGTCCGCCACCGTTGACGCCTTGAAACGCGACCAAGACGACATGGCCACTGCTGTTAGCGTCTTAGAACGTGGCCAAGACGGAATGTCGAGAGCTCTTAATGCCTTGAAACGCGACCAAGACGACATGACCACTGCTGTTAGCGTCTTAGAGCGTGGCCAAGATGGAATGTCGATATCTCTTAGCGCCTTGAAACGCGACCAAGACGCCATGTGCCAACTGTTCGCCACTGTTGACGCCTTGAAGTGCGACCTGGACAAGGAGCGAGGCAAAATCGTCGCCTTGGAGAAACGTCTTCACGAAATAAACAAGAAACCAGGTGAGTTTCAGAAGAAAAACATATTGTTTTTACTGTTTCTTCGCCTTCTTCTTCTCCAAACAAATAAGGTCAAGAACTGGACCTGTCACCATGGTAACTGGTGCTGTAGCAGACACCCTTTGGTGTTGGATCAAATTTATGTAGCAAGTGGCAGGATAGAGTTGGAGGGGCTGGTTACTGTATGAATGAATCTGTTTGATGAATTGCTCAAGGAAACTTTTACTGAATCAACTACTAGATAATTTCTTTTAAAACCGTCAGACGTTTCAAGTAGCATCCACTACTTTTTGTTGGTGCTGCTTTTTCAGGATCTCCCGTCCCTATTCCTTAGCCTGCTGTTGTTTTGATACTACCAATTTCGACTGCCTTGTTGACCCGTGTACTGATATGTTCTCAGTAAAAGTAAAGTAAAGTCTTCTTGGGCCCTTGTCGTAAAAGTAAAGTTAAGTAAAAAGTTTGTTTTCCAGCATCCTGTCCTACGGGTTACAAACTTTGGCGTAAAATCTGCTACAAGGTGTTCAACACACGCGAAACTTTCAGCGAAGCGGCGGCGGCCTGTCGTTCAGACGGCGGCACCCTCGCCATGCCCCGAGACGCCGACACCAACGCCTTCCTGGGCTCCCTGTACAGGGCCACGACCGACGGTTGGAGTTTCTGGATCGGTCTGCACGATCGGCGCGAAGAGGGAAGCTACAAATGGGTATGTAGAAAAAAAACCAACGGGCATGAAAGTTCATCTGTGTTGGTAGTTACATGTTTTAAGTTAAAACTTTTGGTCCAACATAAAAAATTCTCTCACCTAGAGCTTTCGACCTGTCTCTCTGGTCTTCCTCAGTAGACTGACCCAGTGAGGCTTGTCACGTGGCTTCTTTGAAGTGTGACTGGGTCACAACACTGGGTCAAAGGTATCTGGTCGACGATGGTTGACTTCAAAGAAGTTCACGGTCGTGTGGTGTAGCGGCAGAGTGTTCGACTCGGAGCCAAGAGGTGCCGGGTTCGAGTCCTGACATGCCACCGATGTTGTGCCCTTGGGAATGGCACTTTACACGATTTTCCTCACTTAACTCAAGTGAGAATGAGTATTGCCCTGCCCTGTATTTGCCCTCTGTGTTGGTGGCGGCATGAAATAAGTTGACATAACTTGAGTGTGCCGTCGCCATGTTCGGTCATGGGATATAAAAAAACAAGTTCACGGTCGTTCCAGGTGGACGGTTCTGCACTTGGGCCGTACAGTTCCTGGGGTCCGAAACAACCCAACGACATTAGGGGCACGCGCGACTGCGTTCTTTACTCCGCAAGCCCGTCCGGAAAAGTCAGTTGGAGCAGCAAACCCTGCAACTATCTCTGTACCTTCATATGCCAGACTGTGCCAGGTACTTCTTTTAACTAAACAACAATGTCTACATCGATGAAGGTTAGGCATCCGCTAATACGATACGCCAAAAAGCAGTAACTTAAGCAACTGGATGTGATTTTGGATATAATTTTTTTTCAAAATCATATCCAGTTGCTTGAGTAACTGCTTTTTGGTGTAAACACAACGTCTCTCTTATTTTCGTATCTCAAACTGAAAAGAAAAGGGACGCTTTGAAAGGAGCCAAAAAGTGAATTGATCTCAGTTTTTCAACATTTTCTTGCCCTCGGGCAAGAATTTGCAATGACTCGTTATTTCTTTTGTCAAAAACATAATAATGGTTTATTCTCCACATTCTTACGGTACAGCGTCGCAGGGTTCCCGTAAAGGGGCCCTGAATTGATCTGCCGCTTACAATCGATAAAATGTGACGGAGGTATACATGTAAAGCTTAAAACTTAAGACGGTACAAGTATTACATTTCCACATAATTTTGCCTTAGTCATACAAGTTTTAAAATGGTATTTATACTGGGGTAAATAGGTATAAAAAAGGTTAGGCACTTATCATAATGACTTAGAATCTATATTAAAATCCATTAAGGCGCAATAAAAATAACTATGTATTTACATTTAGGAGCGTAATTTTTCATGTCACATTTCGAGCATAATATGCGGTTAAGCGATAGGCGACAAAAGTGCATTCTGAGCGTGTTCTCTAGAGATTAATCAGAGGTCCTTGTTTAGTAGTCGCACAATATAATGCCACATCTGATCTCTGCTATTTCTGCTCATTCTTTCCAGAACGTGTCTAGGCCGACAGGAACTCTCACCACTACAGTACAACGACCCGTCCCACCATCTGCAGTGGAAGTTCTGGTGCTGTGTACCGGTTCGCTGGACCATTTCCGAACTTGTAAAAATGTTTAGGTTCAAGTAAAAAAACTTAGTCAAGAACCTATTCCGGACTTATAAAAAAACATGTCATATACCCCATTTCTTTCCAAACCATGCACCTAGAACCTTTCATAGTTTGCGAAATCTGAATCCTAGGGTCAGGGTTAGGCACGGATCTGGATAGTCTCCGCAGATCCAAGAATGTAGATTTGCTCCAGGCACGGTTCTGGCTACAGGTGGACTATCCAGGACCGTTCCTGGGCATGGTTCTGGATAAAGCACGATTCCAGATACAACAAGCATTACGTCCTGCCTACCACACGCACGTCTGCTTAGTCGTCAGCCCGCCCCCGCGCATCTGCTTGGTTCTCAGCCCGCCCCTTACATCTGCTTGGTTCAGAGCCCGTGAATAGTTTCATCAGGTTGGTAAGACACTAAACAAATAGACACTTTTTTACACAACCAAGCCTTTTATTCAACCGACGTTTCAGTGACTGTCTGTCACCTTCCTCAGGGCAATTCTGACTGGTTCACATTGCACTGCAGCACAGGTGTCGCTGCTACAGATGCTCTCAGCCGCCCCCTTCAAACAAGGCCTACTAAAACACATGGGGGACATGAATAAGTAGAGCACATCTGATGTTATACACATGTTTTCTTTTAAAATACTATGTAATGTAAATGTATATGTAATTCTACGTGATGTATTGTTATGTCTTATATGTATGTTCCCTCTCCTGGAAGAATAGCTGCCACCTTCGGGTGGGCAGCCAAAGGAGAGCTTTTCCTCAATAAACCTCAATTGTGGGGTTGTGTGGCGTAGCGGCAGAGTGCGCGACTCGGAACCAAGAGGTCCCGGGTTCGACTCCTGACATGCTACCGATCTTGTGCCCTTGAGAAAGGCACTTTACACGACTTTCCTCACTTAGCTCAGGTGTAAATGAGTATTGTCCTGTCATGTATTGTCCCCTGTGTTGGTGGCGGCATTAATATAAGTTGAAAAAACTTGTGTGTCGCCACCACGTCTGGTGATTACATGTTGGAATAAAAAAAAAACTCAATAAACCCTTACCTCTGCTTGGTTCTTAGCTGTAGTGCGACCAGGTACGAATGTGGCTATACAGAGTGTCGCCCGGGCAGGCAGTGCTGCCGACATCACGATGGCCTTTCAGACGGTAGCCTGACGTCACCTTACCCAGCTGCACGCCGCACTGGATCAATAATAGATCAATCAATCAATCAATCAATCAATGTAGTCACAAACACACACACACGCACACACACACACATACACACACGCATACACACAAACACTCACACACGTACACACACACATGCACGCACACACAAACACACACACACACAAACAAAAAGCCCCTTACATCAATGATAGCCTTTAGCAGCGTTGAGTGCTGCCTGGTTAGGCAGCCGACTGGTGTAGTCGCCCACAAAGCTGACGGCTATGGACACGCTGTTGTAGTCACAGACACACACACACACACACACACACACACACACACACACACACACACACACACACACACACACACACACACACACACACACACACACACACACAAACACGCACACACACACACACACACACACACACACACACACACAAACACGCACACACAAACACACACACACACACACACACACTGGGAGACCAAAAACAATACTTCCAGAGAGACCCTTACATCAATGATAGCCTTGGCAGCGTTGAGTGCTGCCTGGTTGGGCAGCCGGCTGGTGTAGTCGCCCACAAAGCTGACAGCTATGGACACGCTGTTGTAGCCCTGAGTGTGGCCGCCCTGCCGGTCAAAACCGCGCCCCTCGTACACACGGCCATCTTCACCGATCAGGAAGTTATACCCGATATCAGCCCAGCCTGGAACACAGGAATATCTGTATACTAGTATCTGATATCAGGTAGATATGCCCAGCCTGAAACACAAGCAAGTTATACCCGATATCAGCCCACCCTGGAAAACAGACATATCGATATAGTAGTATCCAATATCAGCACAGCCCGATATCAGCCCAGCCTGGAACACAAAAATATCTGTATACTAGTATCTGGTACCAGGTAGTATATCAGTCCATCCTGGAACACAGACATATCATTCTGTATTTGTATATCCGATATCAGCCCAGCCTGGAACACAGGGGTATCTGTATTAGTGTAGCTTGTATCAGGGTGATATACCCTGTTTAGCCAGTATAACCATAACACTGGGTTAAGGATACAACAGGTGTCATTATCAGAAGTTTCCCACCATGTGAGCCACAAGCCGTGTTGTTGGGTGATCAAACAAAGAGGTATTAAAAGCAAAAATCCTTCACCTTTGTTCAGGCACAGTTCTTGATAGTCCACGCGTATCCAGAACGGTGCCTGGGGCAAATCTATGCTCTTGGACATGCATAGACTTCTGGACTTCTAGATTCTGGATACAATAGAGACTATCCAGAACCATGCCTGATCCTAACCCACCACGGCACAGAACTAGATTGGCACGGTTCTGGATACAATAGAGACTATGGCCGTGTCTATACGGAACCACCCAAGGCGCGATTCGGGTAACTCACATTCCTCACATCTGGTCCACGTGCCACACACACCTGTGAAACCGTGTCCGAACATAATGCTCTTGCGCTACATTTATTGCTGTTTGATGATAACACGCAAGGCGGCGTGTTATTAATGTCAGATGTCAACGACATGATTGCCGATGCCCCCCTCCCAGCCTATCTCGGCCGAATGCCGACGTGGTCCCGCCAGAGGCGGTGAAGCTCGCCCTAGAACGGACACATTATTTGACCATTACTGCTCTGTAAGTTGCTGCCACGTAAAAGTTGGTATTGCATATAAAAAAAGAAATATCACTCCGTAATCCATGACCAGGCGAAGTCACATTGAAATCACATTGCGTTCAGACGCAAATCGCGATGCGGGGAAACCGATTCGAAACCACCTCTAGAAGTGGCTCCAGACGAAGGCGCTTTCAATGTGATTTCGGACCGTTCAGACGGAGCCACTTGAAACCGGCTTCGGGGTAAACCACATGTAAACCGCCTTGGGTGGTTCCGTATAGACAGGGTCTATCAAGAACCATGTTAATCTCGATGTACTGACTACCTTACCATTGCTGTCCATGTGATAATTCTGGTGCGAGCGGATCAGGCTTGAGCACCTGTCCTGGTCATAGCAGGCAGAGCCCGTGGTGTGGTGGATAAACACCTGGCAACAAGAAACAAATACTAGGTGTTAAACAGTAATAATGCTATTACTGGCTCACCTCTGTTATCCATGTGATAATTCTGATGAGACCGAATCAGGCTGGAACACCTGTCCTGGTCATAGCAGGCGGAGCCAGTGGTGTGGTGAATAAACACCTGAGAACAACAAAGATGCTGGGTGTTATTATCACGTTGAAGCTCCTTGTTAATTCTCAATAAACAACGTTATCTGAGAAAGGACTGTCACCAGGATTCTGAAGAAGACTTTCCAGGGAGAATAGTATGGAGTTAACTTCCATACTAATGGAGATCTCAATAAACAAACAAACAATAATAAAAGTCAAAAGTCGATTAGTACGCCTTCGGATCGACTTTCAGTATGGAAGGATTGTCACATTTGTGCACAGTATTATCTCTTGAAGTTCAGTAATTATGATGTTGATTTTCATTCTATACAGTCGTGCCCTTTCTTTTTGTACTATGCTCAGTAGTTGTTGCCATACGCTGTTGTGCAATAAAGTTCTTTCTTTGTCGCACGACAAGCTGCCGACAGCAAATCATCCTGCTTACCTGGCTAACAGGGGTGTGCATGGCGTTGGTGTATTTGGGTGGCCTGGCTCCCCAGCCATCCCGAAGGACCATGTTCACGCCAGCACAGGAGCTGTAGCTCAGCCCTATGCTGTTGGAGCCACCGCCACCGGAAGCTGGAACAAGACTATGGGTCACAGAAGGGGCTGAGAGAATGGCTAGGGAACACTTGTAGACGAACTGTTTTTAATTCGAATAATATATTGCAAATTCATGCCCGTGGGCTAATTGCAGGAACAGAAGAAACATGGTATAAAAACAGACAATTAGTACACATAGAACTACTATTAATTACAAAGAAACTACTGGTAAAAACTACTGATGGGTCCGACTTCTTTTTTGAAGACAGAGGAAGACAAAGGATCCCACTTTTTCTATAATTTGTGGGTTTTCGGATGTTAAGAGGAGAGTAGTTTTCTTCTCATTTGTATATGTATATGAGTGTGTGTATTTGTGTCTATGTGTAATAGAAGGCATGATGTACATACATGGCACACATCACTTCTATGTGTGTGTGTGTGTAGAAGCCTTTAGTACATACATGGCACGCAGCACTTCCTATCCGAAGGCCCTCCACACTTGCCGCTGACGTAGGACCCGGAACAGTAGTTGGACGTCACCTTACACGTCCCACCTGATGCCGCGCAGGAGCTGTCATAGGTCGCATAGCTGGATTCCAATGCCTGGCCTAAACAAACAAACAAACAAACAAACAAAAATAAACATCAACATAATACAGTACATACCCCATTATAGCTCGCCTCAAATGCCTGGCCTGGAAACAGACAAACAAATAAATAAATAAACAAATAAACGTACATAAGTATCATTCGTTATACACTCGTACAAACCATCATCATAGCTCACTTCCAGTTCCTGGCCATGTAAACGAACAAAGAAATAAACAAACAAGAAACGATAGTCTCATTCATCATATACCTATAAGTACATAATTGTAGAAGAAGACGACATTAGGAAAGTAGCCGTACTTTTCTGTCGAAATTTTCAACTGTACAACTCCTGTCTTTGTCAAGGAATGAGCAATCCATCACTTCATTTACAAGGACTGGAGTTGTACAGTGGAAAATTTGGGTAAGTCCCATTATTTGTGTTAGAAATTACAGTTTGAAACTTATGACATGTTGACGTCTACCAACAAACAGATGAACTTTCAAGACAGCTTCTACATATGTTGTGTCTTTAAGGATTTTTTTATAACATCTTAAGAAAGTGGCAAAAGACACAATTTGTAGCATAAGACACACAACATCTTATAATAAAACGTAGGCAGACTTACTTTGTAGTATAAGACACAGAGCATCTCAAGAAAACGATGTAAGACTTACAAGTGGCGTCACAGTTGAGACAGCAGCGTCTGTAGGTGTCACCTGCGCACTTGTTGGTAACGTAACCGGCCTTACAGGTGGTATAACGGTAGTCCGTGCAGGTGCCTCCAAGTGCCGCGCAGCCACTGTCATCTAGACCTGATAAAAAAAAGTAGGCAACAGTCAAATAAAGCCTTTGCGGGGTCGTGTGGCGCAACGATAGAGCGCTCGAGTTAGAACCAAGAGGTCCCGGATTCGAATCCTGCCATGCGACCGATCATGAGCCCTTGGGAAAGGCACTTTACACGACTTTCCTCACTTAACTGAAGTCAAGTGAAAATGAGTATTGTCCTGTTCCGTATTTGCCCTCTGCGTTGGTGGTGTCATAAAATAAAGTTGAAAAACTTGAGTGTGCCGTCACCACGTCTTGTCATAAAAATATTATTGAATAGTTTATTCAATAATAAAATTGAACTTTACCGTAAGACGGCACGGCCAGGCTGAGTACAGCGAGGACGAGGAAAGCCAACATGTTGTCCTGTTGGAGTTGACCAGCGGAATGAAGCAGGTTTCGCCACGTATTAACACACTTACACGTTCCATATATATGCTGTTTTCATATAGACAGGATGGGGGATGTTTGCTGATCAAACTCAGGACGTTTGGACGCACAGTGGGCATAGGGAAACAAATTTTATGTTTCCTGTATATAGTACAGTGGATTCATTTCTCCAGCTAACCGACATCTTGCACACGCAGTCGTCCCTCAGTAAGACACATGGAGCCGCATAGTTCCCGTTTAGAACTTTTATTATATATAACTTATAGTGTGACAGGCTGAATAAAAGTTCTAAATAGTTCTAAAAGTTCTAAAGTTCTACTATATAAATTTTATATTTCCATTTTCCTGACCGACCCAAGTAAAAATCCGCCGACCCTAGACTTGGTTTTTGGGTCGACCGCTGGCATGGAATTCTATATCTGAATTTCGAACCCTTTGAAACGCTAATTCACGCATTTTAGAAGCAAATTTGAGAAAATCAGGTGAAACATTTGTCCCTTTCCAACAAGCAAACGGAGGGACGGGTCCTGGGGATAGCCCTGGTTCTGATGCATTTTAGTTTTACTTCGTTAAACTTTATTTAGCGGTAACAAGAAACACAACAATAATTTTCCTCAGCCGTATCAAAAATACCTTCCTCTACCAGGTGTGTTATTAGGTCCATGGGTGCTAACAATAGTCCAGTTGCTAAGGCGTTCCAGGGTCTAAGATATCTTTATTTTACCACTAAGGAGTTACTATAGTGAAGAAGTATATACCAAAGAGAACGAATTCTGAAAAAAAAACTCACTTGTTCAGGAAGAAATAACTTGGTGAGGTAAAAATGACCCACTACAGACGTTAACTTTTATTTGTTAGTTATATTTTTACGCTTGTCAGACAAATATTCGCACGGCTGTTATATTTGTACCTAGAGCAAACATCGCCTCCGGTCACGAGGCTAGATCATACTGGCAGTTCTGGGAAAGTATACGCGTGTGACAGATGGCACAGTGATCTAATCTCCACATACCATAATATGCTTCTTACCCTGCCCTATTCCGTCCCAATATGATGTGCGGTCGTGTGGCGTAGCGGCAGAGTGTTCAACCTTGACCCAAGAGGTCCCGGAATCGAAGTGTTCAACCCGGAACCAAGAGGTCCCGGGCTCGAGTCCTGACATGCCACAGATCTTGTGCCCTTGAGAAAGGCACTTTACACACGACTTTCCCCACTTCGCTCAGTTGAAAATGAGTATTGTCTTGACTCTTGTCCTGTATTCGTCCTCTACGTTGGTGGTGGCATAAATTAAGTTGAAGTTACTTGAGTGTGCTGTCACCATGTCTAGTCATGAAATGTTGGGACGTATAAAAAGTCTTCCCGTTTCAGCTGTGTGAATCATACTCTAACCTCCTCCCTTCGAGCCAATTCCTTACGTTACGTCTTACCGCTTAAGGACTTTGTCTTGGCAGAGTGCGAGATTAAGCCAGCCTGGCTAATCCCGACTTCCGCTTGCTTCGGATTAACTGCAATGACTAAACAGACAAAATTTGATAACGTGTCCATCATGCACTAATGTGGTGACAAGTACATCCGGAATGCAGGTATGTTCAGATTAGGATAACGGAATGCGTTTTTTTAAGCTGTGTGTGTGTGTTGTAGCCCCCATCAGGGGTTATGGATACCAAAATTCGTAGCAAAAATAGTAGCCTCTATCGGGCTTTTTAAAGTGTGGAAGAAAATAGTAGTCTAGCTCTTTTAGTACTGTATCAAGACATAGAGGGCTGACCTAAGCTTTACTAAAGCAATGTTTCATCTTACGTCGATGAAGGTTAGACATCCAGGTAATACGATACACCAAAAAGCAGTTACTCAAGCAACTGGATATGATTTTGGAAACGGGCAGACATTTCATATCAATCAATAGTTTGTGCTTATCAACATGCATTTCTTCTCTGGTCTCTCAGTCACTGACGAAAGCTAGTGGATACTAGCTGAAACGTCTGACCGTTTCCAAAATCATATCCAGTTGCTTGCTTGAGTAACTACTTTTCGTCGTGATCTTTCATCTTGCATACAATAAAGATGATTTTAAACCCGTCTATTTCACATTCAGAAATGTATGTTACGTAACATCTCAAGGAGTGCTATGTGACACCTTAAGGTGCGTCCGTGTCACCTTGAGAAACGTCCCGACTCCTTAAGTAGCACCACGGTTCCTTGAGACGCGACCTTGCCCCTCAAGACGGTAAGCTGCCGCCTTAAGTTTACGTTCTTAAGATTTCTCTTAAGGCGGAAGGGTTTTGAAATCCGTCAGGCGAGCGTTAAAATTTCATCACCGATGTTGCCAAGACAAGGACTTTAGGCTGTACCAAGTGTTATTCATTTTATGGGCGTGTTCTTGAAAGTTTCTTTTCTTCAGAACTAAAGAAAAATTAAAACTGAAGAAGTTCAAATGAAGTTAACGCAGGAAATTGAGTCTTAAAAGTAAGGAAAAATTTGGAAGATTGCTAAAAAATTGAAAAGGGGACAAATTGTAGGATTAATTTTTAACCACCCCTTGTGAGTAAATGGTCCGGTCTAATTCTCAAAACGGGGCGCCGAATGTTATGAGTTCGGCACGCGGGGCATCTCGGGAAGCTGTTCTGTATGAAAACTATGCGATTATCGGCATAACAGACCTACAGCCCGAGGCACCGAAAACTTACTGACAGATTCCACACATCAGACACTCTCTCAATACGTCACTACTTAGCAACGCACGACTTTATTTTCCCGCCAAATTTTGGAGCGGTTTCAAGTCCTTGCGACCTCTGAGACCTTTGATTTTACAACTGGAATATGATTCAACGGACGACTTTTTTTCCCGCCAAACATCCACACATCAGACACTCTCTGAACACGTCACTCTTTAACAACGCACGACTTTATTTTCCCGCCAAACCTTTCACACATCAGACACTCTCTCAATACGTCACTCCTTAACAACGCACGACTTTATTTTCCCGCCAAATATTCCAAATCAGACATACTCTCAACACGTCACTCGGTAACAACGTAACGGACGACTGTATATTTATTTTCCCGCCAAATATTCCACGCATCAGACACACTCTTAACACATCACTTCTTAACAACGCACGTACAATGAATGATGTTCAAGTATGATTTGTAAAAAAAAAATTAAAGAAAAAAATTTCAAAACATGATTGAAATAATTTGAAATTCGTTGAACAAACTGTCAAATTGTCCTTACTTCCAAGTGGTCTCCCAGCGGTCCCCTAGCGGTCCCTAAACGATCGCAGCGCAAGGGAGTTTAGTTGGGCGGCGCTTGGCTTGGCAAGGGCACCTCGGGCGATCCCTGTATGGCCATAATTGGCGCCCTCAGCCGTACATGGAGAGTAGTCAGCGAGCGCTGCCGGGTTATAGGCACGGGACTGGTGATGTAAGACCGCCGGAACTCGGGAAGACAAGCACTTCTCTCGTGAGAGGAGAGTCACACCCTACAAGAGGGCAAACCAGACAGACTGAGTAAGACATCAGTGTTGGAGTATGTGTGAAAGAGACTGAAGAAACACAGCCTGCGCTACTATGGAACTGTTCTCACTCATTCAAGCTACTCTTCTGGTCCTGGCGTTCGCTAAAGGTACGTTTACCACTGTTTTACATCGCGTATCCTACATCATACTGTATCAGTTTCGTTGTACACTGAGAGTACGGACCGATTCGATGTGCTCTCCTAGAGACACTTTCAGCTTCAGCTTCACGCAAGAGTCAAATACCCTAGTAGAGAGACAATTTGACACTGAACTGAACCAAGCGCAAACCAGCACCAATTCAACAGACGACGTCTAGCAATATATTAGATGTTAAATAACGACACATAGTTTTTGTGTGCCTTACGTTAAGGAGTACGCTGCCTCTTGTAGTTCCTTCTTAAGGTTCTTAAGGTTTGAGAAAAAGGTGACGCAAACTCACGTACATCTCTGACCTCCCCGGACGCCCTAGAGGTCACTAGGGTCACGCCATGTCACATCGTTCCGCCATTGTCGCCTGTTGTTTCATCTGGATAATCCGGCTGGAGATATAAATATGGAAATATGGAAATGTTATTTTGATCCCGGATTAAGCTTGAAGAGAGATTTACTGATCTAGCCTGGGTACCATCGGGATTTTCGCTCCACAACGCTTGAAAAAATTGTGATTTCTTTGTACGGTTGCGGAGCGAAAATCCGGATGGTACCCAGGCTAATACTGATCGGGACATAGAAAAACTTGGCTGATGATATGTACATATAACAGAACATAATGGTATAGGGGACATTCCTATACTCTTGTCAATGGGTACAATGGATAGTTTTAGTAGCCTGTTTCCAGGACCTACACAGACCAGTTCCTCGGCTCCAGGGCCAACATGCCCCCAAGGAAAATATACCACAGCCCTCCTGAGTTAGCCTAGGTGCCAGACTGTTTGCAGGGCCCTACACAGGCATACAATCTAGTCTATTTGGACAATATTTGCACTATTTTTCCAGCATCCTGAGGAGCCTGTTCGAGGTTATTTCAGCAGGAGGTAGAATAACAAGCGACTTAAACTCTCGTTCCCACGGCAGTAAGTAACATAAGGCCCACGCGATGACAGACGTGTCGTTCCCAGCCTTATTAAGCGCAGGTCGGAATAGTTCTGCTCGGTTCGATTTGGGTATGGTCGGTAGTGCGTCGACCCTAGTGGTGTATATATATACATGTATGCCTGGCCGGTCTCCGTTCCTTTTTATTTTACAGTAACACATCTCTATTTCATATTATTTTACTATGAAAAATTTTGATTTCTTGTTATTTTACAATGGTAAATCTTCATTTCCTTATTAAGCGCAGGTCGGCATAGTTCTGCTAGTTTCGATTTGGGTATGGTCGGTAGTGCGTCGACCCCAGCGACAAAAACGCCTGACATTGGGGTATGGCGTAGCGACAGCGTGCTCGACTCGGAACCGAGAGGTCCCGGGTTCGAGTCCTGACATGTCACCGATCTTGTGCCCTTGGGAAAGGCACTTAACACGACTTTTCTCACTTAACTCAAGTGAAAATGAGCATTGTCTTGTCCTCTATTCGTTTCCATGTGTGTATCCACTGGCCAGAGAGAGTCCAATACGGTGGGGGTCAGGACAAAAAAAACGGGCCATATATAAAAAGGTAACGATCTTCCGTCCCCCATCAACATCTGCTTGGAGAGTAGCCAGAGGCGTGATGTGGCCAGTCTAGCCATTCATCAGTCGCAAATTAAACATCTTCCCGAGGGAGGAGCAGCAATTATGCCGGGAAAAAGGGGCACGCGTCCGGACATTGTTTCTGCCCGTCCTACTCTCCAAGCAGAGGTTGTGGGGGAATGATCGTTACATTTTTATGTATGGCCGTTTTTTGTCCTGACCCCCAC